AGAGACTTTTGCCTTAGATCAGTTTGGGATCTATTAGGTTGACCGGAAAGTTTCCCGCCACGTGTTTGATCGCACCATATTAGCCTTGCATGTATGTTTATGACTTATCGTGGGGTGTGCATGAAGCACGCAAGAGACTCTTTCACATCACTACCTCACACACCCAGTTGCATCTTCGATTCCCAAGAATGCCGCGCCCAAGTGTCAACGCGCGGACAGGATGCACCTGTGCAGCTGTCTCTTTCATGTCAGTCTGGTTAAACGACTAAGGAGGCCGAAGCAAGATGACGTGGATCATAATGGCGGCTGACGCTATCTCTTACGACACGTGCAAGACCTGGATGGCCAAGTTCAAGAAAGGAGATTTTTCTCTCCAAAATGCTCCAAGGTCCGGCCGGCCGATGGAGTTAGACTTGAAGTTGCTGCAATCCACCGTGGAAGAGGATCCGTACGCCACTACCAGGGAACTTGCAGCGATGCTCGGCCATGCCCAATCAACTGTTGAATCTGGGCTGGAGAAGATTGGTAAAGTCGCAAAGCTTGGCCGTTGGATTCCTCACCAATTCAATGGCGGGAAACTTTCCGGTCAACCTAATAATATAGAAGTTTCTGGCAAGAGCACACATACATTCAGCTACGGGATGCATAGAACATACGATCTAGATTTTCATTCTAGACATCGGAAAGTTTTTGAACATTATGTGCTTTGTTCACAAATTCGCCCTGACTCTGAGCTACGCGCTCTTGATGCCTTCTTCATGGCTGGGTTGCCAACAAAGCTGACAAATCCAGCTGTGCTTTCCGTCGAAATATTACTGGAGGCAGAAAGGCGTGCGAGTTTTCGTTACAAGTAGCGCGACAAGCAAATAGCTAGCAAGAATTGTTCACAAAAGTCCGCATGTTTTTGAATGAATTTACTGATTGGTGTAAGAAAATCAAAGGGTGAATGTAAAAAGTCATTCCGGCTAGTTCCGCTGGGAGCGCTCGGCATCGAACCAGTCATCGTGAAGTATGAGCATTGTTGCAGCTCCTATCAGCAGACAGCATAAAACCGTTACTGTAAGAGCTCTAAAGCATTCCAAGGATTCTATCTGATTCCAGCACAAGTGTTTATCCTCTCCGATGTAAGGCTGCTGGACGTTTGGCTTCGCATGTCATTGTTGGAGATTTCACGGTTTTTTTACAGATTGCCAGAACCGGCAACACTATTCTCCAAAAAAGATTCAATGAAGCTGCAACTGTGTATGTTTAGGTATGTGAAGGAGTGTGAGTGTCAGTAGGACAGCATTGTAAAAGACCCATAAGTCCTCCTTGTTTTCTCTCTCTTTTTTCTGGGAATTTGGCTTTTCGAAGCCAAGTTTCTAGAAGACAAGAGAGAAAACAAGAAGAATCAGGAAGAAGAGACAAAGTGGACGGGTGAAACATCCTTTAAAAGAGAAAACTTGAACTTGAAATTGGCGCTTGAAAATACGTCTGGTGGGTGGTGTAGGTTTCACGATTCCACTCCGACCATAAGCTCCCCTTGTGAGAGCTCCAGAACTCGACAACATTTTTTTGCGTCATGCTCTTTTCATAACTACTCTACCAGTGAGCTTATGAAGATCTGCGCTTGATAACTCCTTATAGCACAAATCCTTTATCAGCACCAAGCATAGATTTGATGAGCGTGAGGATTTTTTCTTCTAACTGAAAGGAAAACAGTCATGTTGGCTATCGCACGCAGTTGTGCTTGCTCTTCTTTGACTCCTGCTTTTGTTTTTTGCTTTTTTTAGCCAGAAGTGTTTCCTTCGTGGAACACTTCTCTCTCCCAAAAAAGTCAGATAAGATGATAAAGATGGGACGAAGAGAACAGTTCCTTGGAAGTTCCTCAAGAAGGTCGCAAAAGGAAGAAAGGATATTAAAGAAATGTCAAAGCGCACGAGGTCGCAGTCGAAACAGCTGCAGTAGTTCACAGTTTTACTAACCAGTCGGATCGCCTGCCAAAGGCGGGCGATCCTCCTTATGCATGTGAAGTGGGTCCCTGGCCTTCCAAGATCCTCCTTATGCATGTTAAGTGTGTATCGCACCGGATTTCCCTTGTGAGGCCCAGTCGGGTCGCCCGGCTGTGCTGTTAGTCAAAAAATTTTTTTGAAAATTACCAAACTTTACCGCTTAATCCCTAGTATATACCCCTCCTTCCCCCTGGAAATGAGCTGAATTCTTTGGAGCGAACGTTAGCCAATGGGCGGACCTACCTCACCGCGGGTGCGAAATTTTGGTAAGAACGATTTCGCTTGAGGCTCCGAAAATCTGTTGGAGAGGACGGTATACCACTGCATTAGTTAGTGGTTGTATGTTATTGGGACGATCTTGATAACAGTGAGAATTTCCACTGTGGAGTCAACTCACTGTGAGGATGCCTCGCTCGTTTGAACAGCGAATCCGCCCAAAACCATAAATTTGAGGAATGGTAACCAATTGCTAAGGGACACGCTCCGCCTGCTGTAGGTGGGTCCTGGCAGACATCTAGTACATCCAGCGTACATAAGATCTTCTTCACGGAAGTTTGCCCTTTTCTCTAGAGCGCCTCCAAGTGTTTCGGAACCGTGATGAATTCTCCGGAGCGAGCGCTGCCCCTGTCGCTCACCTTCCCCACCGCGGGACTCTGCCGTATTCCAATGGCTGGCCTGTTGCTCACCTTCGTCTGTTTTTCCAATCCCTTTACTCACTTTTGGACCTTTGAGGATTTTTGTGCTTGGCTTCGGCGGACCGCCCACTACTTTCCTTATTGGTCCGACAAACGGACAGACAACTTCTGCTTTATATATATAGAGTATATAATTCTGCAGGGGATGCTACTATTACGTTTCTTTCGATCTGTGGACTGAAATATTGTATTCATTATTTATATTTACTTATTTGGTACAACTTGAAAGCCCTGGCTTTTTCGGATGGAAGACGAGAGAGAGGCAGGATTTTGAAAGGAACGTTCACAAAACGAGTAATCGTTGCCAGAAGTTGTGACCAAGCCAACTTTAGCGAACTTGATTCTCCGAGTATGATATCTTGAGGCTTGTCTGCCCTGCTTTCAATGTATTCTTTTTCAAAGATGTAGGTTCAAGTCATCTGACAGAAGTCATTGGAAAGTCGGTTTACCATCAAATAATTCGAGGAACCATCTTCTTAGAGATGACAGTTCCAGGTTCACGAGCTCTAAATGATGAAGGAATTCCTTTCCAACTTACTTCACACAACGCTTTTTTTTGATCAGC